ACTCTCCACACCCGCACCCCCAGAGGGACCACCCTCAGGGCGACCGGGACGAGCACCCCCAGAGTCAGCGAACGGGGGCTGCGACTACGGCGGCGGCGGCGGCGGCGGCGACGGCGACGGCTGCAGTGGCGGCAGGGACGGCGGAGGAGGGGACTGGGGAGGGGACACCTGGGGAGGGGCGGCCGGCGAGGACTGCACCGGAGGGCCACCAGAGTCAGAAGACTCCTCAACCGGGTCCACGGACGGAAGGGGGGTGACATGGGAGACACCAGAGGGGGCGGGACGGGGAGGAGGAGGAGGAGGGGCAGGGACTACCGGGGAAGGGGTGACCAGGAACAGGGGGGGGGTAACCGGGGGACCACGGTGGGGGAAGCGACGGTAGTAGGAGACGGACTCGTCAAAGGTGATGTCACGAGAGTGAAAGAAGCGGTGAGACGGCGGGTGGTAAAAGTGCCAGTCGGACGCGTCAAGGGGAAAACCGAGGAAGACACAGGGAAGGGTGCGGGCAGTGAGCTTGTCCGTGCCAGAGGCACGAACGTGAGCAAGGCAGCCCCAGACGTGGAACGCAGACGCGTCACCAGGAGACCCAGTCCACAGACGGGTCGGCGAAACCTGCGGCTGCTGAGGGTGCGGCCACAGGTTAAGCTGGTGAGAAGCGTAGCGCACAGCGAACGGCCACAGAAAATGGGGTGCACCGGCATGGACCATGGAGGTGCGAGCGACCTCCATGACCAAGCCGATGCGTCGCTCAGCGACCCCATTCTGTTGTGGGGAGTCCGGTAGGGTGAACGTCTGGGTGATGCCCTCCGCACGACAAAAGCGACCAAGGACACCTGAGGCAATCTCGCCACCACGGTCTGAGTGAAGACGCAAGACAGGGAGACCGCGGTGGACACGCGCAGAGACAAGCCAGGGGATGAGGGCGCCAGGCACGTCGGCCTTGCGCTCCAGGGGAAAGACTGTGGTGTAACGAGTGAAGTCGTCGACAAGCACAAGGAAGTAGCGCTCGCGACGCGGCCCAGGGACGGGGGCGGGGCCCCAGACGTCCAGGTGCAGGGTCTGCAGCGGCGCGGCGGTAGGGGGGAACGAGGAGGAGTGAGGGGCACGGCGAAGCCGACCCTCAACACAAGGCGTGCAAGGTGGAGCTGGGGAGGAGGGAAACGCGGGGAGTGAACCTGGGAGACCAAGGACAAGACCGTGCTGGGACATGTGACGCAGACGCGGGAGCGCAGGGTGACCTAGGCGGTGGTGCCACAGGAGGGTCGGGTGAGTGAGGGAGCGACAGGAGCAGGCAGCAGCAACCTGGGTAGACACAGCCACCTGAGGGGGCGCTCCAGCCGGGGGGGGCACGGTGTCCAGAGTGAACAGGCCGGACACCGGGTCCCGGGGGAACGTGGACAGGGGGGCACCAGTGGCGGCCTCGGTACAGACAGCTTACCGCTCGTGACCAGGGAACGTAGTGGTGACGCCAAGGTCCTGGAGGCAGCCGACACCAACTAGGTTCCTGGAGAACGAGGGGATATGCAGACCTGTAAGAGAGCCCGAAGGAACCGCCGGACAAGGAAGGGTGGTGGAACTGCGGGCGACTACCGGACCGCCGGAGGGGTCAGCAAGAGAAACGGCAGCAGGAACAGGAAGCGGCGTCAAGGTGGTGGAGTCGCGGAAGAAACACCGAGAGGCGCCAGAGTCCAAGGTGAAGGAAAGCGAAGCCGAGGGGTCTGGCGACGGAACGACGGCAGAAGCACCAAGACTACACAAAGCAGGGGATCCTACGCCTGACGCAGCAGGGGAGGCTAAGCTAGGCACACCTACACTAGGCAACAGTGAGTAATAAGTCGGAAGCACACTAGAGTCATCAGCATACATCTCATGCAGAGCAGAAACAATGGCATCCATGTCCATATCAAAGATCTGAATCTTACGACTAAGCAAACTGTGCCAGTCCGGGAGGTCTGGCGACGGGCCGAAACGCTGACGAAAGAGGTCGTCCAGGCGACGAAAGCAGCGGGGAGTGGAGTGACCGATCTTACCGCAAACGAAACCGCGGTGAGGACCGGTCTGGATCTGGTACTGACAACGCCCGCCGGCAGAGCCACCACGCGGCACACCACCACGCGCCCGTCCACCGCCAGCGCCGGGCCACCCTGGCGGGAGAACACTCGTCTGCCGCGTCTGCGACGGCTGCTGCGGCTGCTGCGAAGGCTGCGACTGCGGCGGCTGCTGCGGCTGCTGCAACTGCAGGGGCGGCGACTCAGCTGGACTGGGCAGGGTCCCCTCGTCCGCTCCAGCACCAGGCGACCCGACCCCACCACTACCCCCGCCCGCACCCCCGCCGCCCCCTCCGCCGCGCCCAGCCTTGGGGCGGCGGCCCTTCCCAGAACGGGCCTGCGCCGCAGCAGCAGTCTCAGCCACTACGGCAGAGCCGTCGGAGAAGGTACACTGAGCGGGGGCACAACCCTGAAAGATAGGGACCGGCACGACACCGCTCGCCTGGGCGATGGAGCGGTGACGGGTCTCTATCACAGTCAGGGTGTCGACAAAGTCAGTGAGGGTGAGGTCTGCGGGGTGAACACTAAGGAAGCGGTCGCGGGCGACAGCTAGGCGGTCAGGGAGGCGGGTGGCAAGCAGGTAGAGGGTAGAGGTAATGGGCGGCTGGTGGGCTCTAAGCTGTGCGTCAGTGCAGGCGGCGCGCCAGGTCTCCTCTATCGAGCGCAGGTGGGCAGCGAGGTCAGAGACAGTGGGGAACGAAGCAAGGTCAGGAAAGAGCAGCGGGAGGATCAGGCGACCCACCGAGGCAGCCGGAGGGGTGGAATAGCGCTTGATGACAGCATCTAAGTATGCCTGAGCAGTAGTGAGGGACCTAAAGCGAGGACGCTCAGACGGGGGGAGGGCGTTGCTAATGGCAAGCTGGGCGACAGCATCGCGAGAAAGCCAGACAGAGCGCGCACGGGCAGTGGCAGCAGTAGACTCACGCTCAGTGGGTGTGGGGTCAGCGGGCAGAATAGCAGGAGGGTCTGGGCAGGGGAGCGTACCGTCAAGGTGTGCGGAAAGCGGTTCACCATCCTGCCGCTGGCCAGTGAGTTGGCGGCGGAGGTCGGCAAGCCACGCCTCGAACTCTAGGGGCTGACCTTCAGCGTCGAAGCGAAGCTCCGCCGCCATCAGGAACAGTCCAGTGTGTGCAGGGCGGTGCAGTGCGGTGCAGTGCGGTGTAGTGCGATACAGTGCGGTGCAGTGCGGTGCAGTGCGGTACTGTGCGGTACAGTGCGGTGCAGTGCGGTGCAGTGCGGTGTAGTGCGGTGCGGGGCGGCACGGAGCAGGGCGGGGTGGGGGGGGGGGGGGGGGGGGGGGGGGAACCGTACCAGTGAGGAGGACGGGGCCGGGGCTGGCCCGACGGGGCCGGGCGGGCGCGACGGGGCCGGGCTGATGCAACAGGGCCGGGACGGGGCGACGGGGCCGAGCGGGCGCGACGGGGCCGGGCTCGGGCGACGGGGCCGGGCGAGTGCGGCAGGGCCGGGCCGGTGCGACGGGGCCGGGCGAGCGGGACGGCGGCCGGGCTGGTGCGACGGGGCCGGGCGGCGGCGACGGCGCCGGGCGGGCGCGACGGGGCTGGGCGGCGGCGACGGGGTCGGGCGGGCGCGACGGCGCCGGGCGGGCACGACGGGGCCGGGCGGCGGCGACGGGTACGACGCGGCCCAGGAGGGGCGCTACGGGGCCCAGGAGGGGCACGACGGGGGGCCCAGGAGAGGCGCTACGAAGCCCAGGAGGGGCGCGACGAGGCCCAGGAGGGGCGCTACGGGGCCTGGGAGGGGCGCGACGGGGCCTGGGAGGGGCGCGACGGGGCCCAGGAGGGGCGCTACAGGGCCAAGGAGGGCGCGACGGGGCCCAGGAGGGGCGCTACGGGGCCCAGGAGGGGCGCGACGGGGCCCAGGAGGGGCGCTACGGAGCCCAGGAGGGGCGCGACAGAGCCCAGGAGGGGCGCTACGGGGCGTGGAAGGAGCGCGACGGGGCCCAGGAGGGGCGCGACAGAGCCCAGGAGGGGCGCGACGAGGCCTGGGAGGAGCGCGACGGGGCCCAGGAGGGGCGCTAGGGGGCCTGGGAGGAGCGCGACGGGGCCTGGGAGGGGCGCGACGGGGCCTGGGAGGGCGTTACAGGGCCCAGGAGGGGCGCTACGAAGCCCAGGAGGGGCGCGACGAGGCCCAGGAGGGGCGCTACGGGGCCTAGGAGGGGCGCGACGGGGCGCTACGGGGCCTGGGAGGAGCGCGACGGGGCCCAGGAGGGGCGCTAGAGGGCCTGGGAGGGGCGCGACGGGGCCTGGGAGGGGCGCGACGGGGCCTGGGAGGGCGGTATAGGGCCCAGGAGGGGCGCTACGAGGCCCAGGAGGGGCGCTACAGGGCCTGGGAGGAGCGCGATGGGGCCCAGGAGGGGCGCTAGGGGGCCTGGGAGGAGCGCGACGGGGCCTGGGAGGAGCGCGACGGGGCCCAGGAGGGGCGCTAGGGGGCATGAGCGGAAGCGGTAGGTGGGGGGGGGGATCCTACCTACGCGTGATACCATATCAGAATAATTGAATAACGGTAAAGTGAGAGTACACACAAATATATCTAAGTTTTGTATCCTCTAAGAGGTGACTCTATACAGTCTATACAAACATGACAAATACACATGTTTGACAGGAGATTGATGCTGCAGCAGTGCCAGGTGTCATTGACCAATCTCGTATGAGTGTTGTGAAGAGAGTCACGACCATTGCTGACGCGATCGAGGTGGTTCAACAGCAAGATGGACGGTCGAGATCCTCTCGACACTTTTTGTCTTTCGATTTCATGTTGCCACTTGTATTGATTCTTCTGCCCGTCTTTGTGCTGGGAATGGCAAGTGACGCGATTTTAATCGTGTTCGTATTTTTGCAGCTGAGCGAACCTTGGTAATGAAGGACAGAATACTATTTAAAGGCAAGAAAAACGTGCAGGGTGTTATGTAAAATGCAAACCCAGAAAAGCGGGTACTCTAAAAAATGTGTCATATCATAAGCTATCCCCCGCATAAGCCACCCGTGGGCTGACTATTTCGGCGGGTCTTATATACGGGGGATTACGGTACTTGTTAGCTAGCATTCAAGACAGTTAGAGCCCATGGGACTAGTCCTACGGAGGGGCGTCTATCCGGGTGATTACGGTACTCTCTATGAAATGCACATATCTAGCCTACACGAATATATATGAATATGTAGTAAAGCCAGGAATGCTATTGTTTTATGGGGCGTACTGCAGAGAAGAGAAAAAAACTAGAAGGTGTACCTACTACCTAGCCAGCTCACGCATGCTTGACCACATGTTCTGGCAGTGCTACCGACAGCTGCACCAAAATCCGACTCTACAGCACACCCTAGAACTAGGTTCGTGCTTCTTTTACGCGAGGAGATAACATCAGAAGATGCACAGCACTCCACACTTGTCAATGCTCCTCCATTTGGCAGGCACTTGTGAACACCTGCTTATGATGTGCAGCCGCCACATCATAAGCACATCTTCACAATCTCACAATGCTTCATGCGCCGCCGAGATGCTAAAAACTCCTGGTGGAAGGGCGTGAAAGATGCCATGGCAGACATGTGGTTGATGTGCTACTAGAGGAAGTCAAGCGCTTTAATGCTGACACGAAACAACGAAGATCAGCAGATCAGAGCGAAGACACCCATGGACACCCATCCATACATGAGCTACGTGTGCGGGCGTTGCCAAGGCTCATGCTGGTGAGGTGAGTTCGCACAGCAGTTGTCATTCCAAAGAATTTGGGAGTCTTCTCAGGGCATATTCCTACACCTGTTCTAAGACGCGTCTCTAATCAGACGTGTGCGGTACAGTGCAGGTTTGCCGCGATTCGTTTCAATGTGGTTTAGTACGGTGTCACACAAGTCTGAGAAGGGGTAGGATTAAAAAGGGGCTGTAGGAATATGCCCTCACCTTATGGGAACGTAAGCCTGGAAACACAGGCTGGAACCGGGTGACTGTGTGACGTCAAGCAGATAAACAGCCAAGGCCAAAGGGCAGGTGCCATGGAAAACATACATACATTCATACAGAAAGAAAGAGAGATGGATGGTGGTTGGGGGCACAGGGCGAGAGAGGTACCATGAAGAAAGTGGAGTGCCCGATGACAGTGATGGTGGCCTCGGGGCGCGCAGATAGGAAGCGACGAAACTCCCCCACACGTTTGCGCAGGACGGCTGATGAGTGACACGGGTAAGGTGGGGGGGGGGGGAAGAGGGGTACAGGAGGGAACTGCGGAATAAGAGCTAAGGTGGGAGACAAAACGAGGGCGAATGTGTGGGGATGGAGAAGAGTGCAGACGAAGGAGCACGGAGGAGTGAGCTGGATGAAGGCATTCCACGATGATGAGTGGTTGCAAGAGATTGAAAGAGGTGGTATGGATGAAGTGAGGAGGAAGAGAGGAGCGAATGGGTGATGGTTATGAATTTGGAGAAGAGACAAGAGACAGGAGGTCGTGTGACAGTCAACACTGACAGCTGCTTGAACCTTTTTATCCAAGAGAGCTGACACCACCGCAGATACCATTGCACGGTCCTCATGCATCTGCGGCTTCGTGCTCTCCTCCCCGACATCTCCATTTCACCCATCCCCCTCCCTCTGCCCCCCCTCCCCCCTCCTTTTACCTCACGTATTGCACCATACCATGCCATCACGCCATACACCCTCCCTTCACCCTTCCCCCCCCCCCCTTCCCTGTCAGCCCCCTCGCCACCCCGCATGCGCCCTGGCATGTTGCAGGCAACGGCACGCACCTCTGGGCTCATGCAGGGGCGGCGGATTGGAACCAGCAGGGGCGGGCGCACGCACAGTGCCAGCGACGGGTGGGGTGACTGCGGAAAAAAGGGAGACTGATGACCTGGATGCTAGGGAGAACGGATGTGCTTCAGATGATGCACCCAACGTAGCTGCCACGGTGAGAGTTGCACTGGGTGCACGGCCAGGGGTTGCCAAGGTTGCGGCAGGAGATGGTGCGGCAGTGATGGCAGGTGCAGTGGGTGTGTGGGGGGGGTGTGTGGGTGGAGGGTGGGAGGGATGGTATGGCCACCAGTGGTGCTGGAGGTGAGAGAAGGAGAGGAAGGGGAGCGGGAAGTCAGAGGCGAGTACCTGCACACACACATGCGTGCATGAAGAGACAGACACACATGCACGCATGCCAGGAGGCACACACACACGGGCATGTATGCACATCCACATGCACGAGCGCATTGACTTGAGAGCCATGGGTTGGTAACACCGGGGATTGGCGCATAACAAGTAGGGATGTTGATGAAACAAATGCCAGCACAAGAGACACCAACCATGTACCCATCCACCCCACCCCACCTGCACCCCTGTCTCCCTCATGCACGCACCTCTTTCTCTCGCCCCATGTCCCCAGGGCCTGCCACGTGCTCTGAGTGCAGGGCGCACACGAGCACAGGGCACGGCGGGGGGGAGGATGGCAGCGCAGGGCCGGGCGGTGAGGGGGGAACAGCCGGGCAGAGGCAGGGCGTGCTGGCTGGGTGGCGGGGGGAGGCTTGCTGCGGGCCGTGGGAAGTGCAGCACGGTGGGTGGGGTGTGTTGAGATGCAGCGCGTAGCAGAGAGTCTCGAGGGCGCGAGAGAGCGGCGACACGAGCAGCTGGGAAGGCACGGGTGGAGCCCGTAAAGAGGAAGGCAGGGGGGTGGAGGTGGGGGATAGAAGAGGAGGGCGGGGGGGGGGTGGGGGAGGGTTGGCGAGGAGAGAGGGGAGGAAGGGGAGTGGGGCGCTTGGGAAGAGGAAAAAAGGACGGAAGTGAGGTGGCGAGGATGGAGGAAGGAGGACAAACGATAGGGCAGTGGGAAGGAATAGGTGAACGTTTAAATGACGGAGGAAGGGTCGGGAAGCTAACAGCGCGAGCGCATGAAGAACCCACAGCCAAATTTCCGTTCCTTACCACTCCCATCCTCCATGCATAATTTCCTTCGCTTGAACGGTCCTCCATCCCTCCTTCCTCACACACGGTGCTAGCACCAGCAGATGAGCTCAAGGAAGGACTCACACTCTGCGATGCAAGACACACAAGCTGTGACCTGTAAAAATTCCATAAGGTGACTCACACTCTGCGATGCAGCACTCACGAGCTGTGACTGGTGGGCGATGTGCATCAGCGACGGGTACAGCGCCGTGGCCTGAGGGGGGGGGGGGGGGGGAAGAGAGAAAAGCAGAGCAAGTTTAGTTTTGAGACGTCTCAAAGCAACGAGAGGTGCAGCGCCATGGCCTGAGGCAGGTGGGGGGCAGAGGTCGGGGGGGGGAGAAGCAGAGGACGATGCACCACTCGACGAAGATGCACCATGTGTGTGTGCTCGCTTCTGTGTGCATGCATACGCCATGACATGCCATCCCATCCCATCATATGCTATGCGAACGATCCCCGATCCCAATTCATGTACCCCCACCTTTCTTCCTCCACCCTTAAAAGCCACGCAACCATCACAGCCAGCATTCACCAAATTTGAACACCCAGCACCACAAAGCACCATCCAGGACCACACAGCACCACACAGCACCACCCAGGACCACCCAGCAGCACCCAGCAGCACACAGCAGCAGCACACACCATCCAGGACCACCCAGCAGCACACAGCACAGCACCACCCATCGCATCACCTGCTGTCTGCCAAGGGGTGAGAGCGGCACGTCACGGTCGCGGCACAAGTGACGGCGGTAGGGGGGGAAGGGCAGCAGCCTAGGGGAGGCGAGCAGGGGCGAGGGGGAGAGGGCGGAGGGGGCGAGGGAGAGGTGGGATGCATGGGACAAGGGCGGCGGAGGAAGGGGCTGGGCGGAAGGTAGGGCGTAGAAGGACGTGTGTCCATGCCTGATGAGGTAGATCACCTGATGGGGACGAGACAACACAGCACGTGAGGGAGGGTGGTTAGGTGGGTGGTTGGGTGGTTGGGTGGGTTGTTGACAGGGGATGTGGGAGGGGAGAGGGTTATGAGAACCAGTGTGAAGGTACAGAGAGAGTAAAAGCGGTGCGGGGCGGATGCGGGGGAGGAGGAGGGCTCGGAGGGGACAGAGAGTGGTCAGCAGAAGTGCAGACAGACAAGAACGTCCCTTTCCTGGGGCGAAGCAGGACGTGCATGCTAGCAGTTTGTGCGGTGTTTGTGTGTGTGCACCTTGTGCTGTCGCCTGCCTCGTGAAAACACATCCCATGCCAACCGTGGCGGTACTGCTTCCCCCATGCCTGCTTCCCCCGTGCCTGCTTCCCCCTTGCCTGCTTCCCCCGTCCCTGCTTCCCCCTTGCCTGCTTCCCCCGTCCCTGCTTCCCCCTTGCCTGCTTCCCCCGTCCCTGCTTCCCCCTTGCCTGCTTCCCCCGTCCCTGCTTCCCCCTTGCCTGCTTCCCCCGTCCCTGCTTCCCCCTTGCCTGCTTCCCCCGTCCCTGCTTCCCCCTTGCCTGCTTCCCCCGTCCCTGCTTCGCCTGCTGCTGCTGTTCTCTCTGAGTCCCCCTTCCTTGCTCCTCCTGCCCCTGCGTTTCTTCCTGCTACTGCTGCTGCTGCTGCTGCTGCTGCTGTACAGGCCTCACTGATCCGCCCTCTCCCTGGTGCTCCCAGTACCACAGTAGCGGCACCGTCATAAGCAGCACTGGCGCTAGCAGTACCTGCAACAATAGCATCAACATCACCCTCGCCACGCCCATCACTCTGTCTCTCCTCACCCGCCCACTGCTCCGCCTCAACACACCAGAGCCTCTCCAACCCCTCCCTGTGCTTCTTTCCTTCCCTTTCACTACTGCCTCTACCCCCCTCCGCCCCTCTCTTCTCCCTCCCACCGCCCACACCTGTCCCTGCCGCCCTCACCCCACATGGCCTTCCGTTCCACACCGCCCCGCCTCTCCCCCCGCCTCTTCCCTCCTGATAGCCCCATCGTCAAGCCCTCCGAATGCGCCCCCACTGCCACCACCACTGCCGTGCGCCCCACTCACAACGGCCCTTCCTCGCACTCGCCCTGCTGCTGTGTCCCCACCAGCGCGGCACCTGCTTGCTTGCCCTCCCTGCTTCCCTCCCTGCTGCCTCGCCCCCCCTCCTTCTCCGCCCATCTGCACTGCGCAACCCTCCTCCACCACCCGTTTCTCCTCTCGCTCCTTGGCCCCACGCTGTTCGGCTGCGGCAATAACAGCGTCAGAAGCAGCAGCAGCAGCAGCAGCAGGAGCAGGAGGAGGAGGAGGCGGAGCAGAGAGCGCAGTGGAAGCAGCAGCAGCGGGAGCAGCGAGACAGGAGTCCACGTGGAGTGACACAGTGCGGAGGGGCACGGATCGCCAGCACACAGGGCACGCCACGAACCCGCTACCGCCGCTCCCACGCCCGCCACCCCTGCCGCCGCTTCCGCCCTCCCTCTTCCCCTCCGCGCCACCCCTCACCACCGCCCGCCCTCCCCTGCCGCCATCCCCTTGCCTACCGGCCTTCCCCGCCGCGCCTCCCGCGCCCCTGCCCACGCTACTGCGGCTTCCGCGCATGCTCGTGCCGCCGTCTTCCGCGCGCGGAGCTACTAGAGCGCAGCGACGCCCAGCGGCCGCCGCCCTGCCTCCCAGAGATGGGGCGCGCTGACGTCGAGTGTCCGCGCGTCCGCACGTCCGCGTGTCCGTGCGTCCGCGCGCGGCGCAGAGAGCAGCGTCATGCTCGCCACCAGTGCTCGGATCGCACTGGCGGCTGGCGGCGCCCGATGGAGCGCTGCGAGGCGAGTGGTTTTCGCTCCACCGATGGGCGCTAGACGGTGACGGACGAGGCGCGCAGGCCCGGGTGCGAGATGAGTGATGTTGGCGTTGAATGACACGTAGTGCCCCAGGTTGCGTGCCAGTTACACCTGCTCGTTATAACTAGTTCGCTAAAAGCGTCTGCTAAGGAAAGCTTCCTGTAAAACTAGCGATGCAAAAAGGAGTTACACAGTTTCCAGTTTCGAACGTCGACTCTAATTTTAGGCTCTTATGTCCGTGCCTTGCAGTATGTGTAATGAGAACAGAGTACCAATATGAATCTTACCGAAATCCCCCGTATATAACACCCTATGGTGTATATAAAAATTCACTAAAAAAAATGACAGGGTCTTAACAGTGGCCCGGAAAAATATAGTGCCCACGTGTTGTGAAAAATGCAATTTGAATTTGAGTGTTCCAGGCCATGTTAGCTCACAACTGGGCGGAGCGGCTGTTAACGAGGCATATCATCCGCTGAGACGAAACTTACGAACCAGGCGTCATTGGCCAATCCCTGCTGAATGCTGTGGTCTGGGCCAGCTTCGTGCCGCACCTGCGATCATCAAGACATGAGAGGATTTCGATCGGGAGGATTCTGACTGTCAAATCACAGCAGAATCCGCGACTTCGACGGTTGAAATCCTCCCAAATCTCAACCTTCGCTGACGTTTCCATTTCGCGCTGCAACTTGTGTTGATTCTTCTGCCCGTTTTTTTCGCTGCCAATAGTAGTTGACATTGCATTTTTCATCCTGCTTGTTTTTTTCAATCGAGAGGAGCTTGAAAAACGATGGAATACTGTTCTTTGCTGCAGAAAACGAGCAGGGTTTTATGTAAAATGCAACCCCCGAAAAGCGGGTGCTCTCTAAAATGCACCCTATCATAAGCTCTCCCTTGCATAAACCACCCACGGAGTGACTATTTCGTCGTGTGTTATATACGGGGGAATACGGTACCTTATCACCTTTCAGATACTGCCATTTATTGGTCTTATTCGGGCTTATTGATAACTCAAACCTCTCGGGGAACGAACGGCACCTGGGAAGAACGAGCACCATGTTAAATGTTAGAATACGAGAATGACTAGAAGCAAGGGTGAACAAGGGAAATATAGGCTTGGGGTCGTACCCTCGAAGAACATACACCTATCTGTTCAAGTGAAAGAATGTCTAGAACAAGGCATACAATACAAGGGAACATAACCTTATAGGTTATACTCCCTAAGGCACAACCCTATATAGTCTACAGAAACATACAATATATGCTAGACACTATCTAGCCTATAACTTCTATATACTAACATATGTAAAACTTGACACACCCCCTAGGATAGACAAGGGGTAGTGCTGAGCTAGAAACGAGCAACTCAGGGTGGCACTACTAGTCCAACCGCTGAAGCAAGGGTCCGAAGACCAGTCAGCAAGAATACAAACAAGACAAGAACGAACCAGGGCGGCACTACTAGTCCGGCCACTGGAAGAGAAGCCACAAGGCCAGTTTAGAAGGTATAAATATAGAGGAGAGGAGTACACAATCAAGGTCCTAGCAAGTGAGAGTCTACAGGAACGAGTCCAAGCTGTATGCAGTGCCGCTGATGATCTTTAGGCGCAAGCACCTTAGTAAAGATATCAGATGTGTTGGCACCGGAGGTCAAGTGTACTACGCGGGCCTGGCGACGCTGCTGTAGCTTGCGCAGGAGGAAGTACCGCAGCTGGATGTGCTTCGCTCTGCCCTCAAGTCGTGGCTCCTGACAGAGAAGGATCAAGACCATGTTGTCAGCGTACATAACTGGGGCACAGCTAGGCCGCTCACCTAAGTCGGCGAGCAAGAAGGTCAGCCAGCGGAGCTCATATGCCGCCATGGCACCGGCGTAGATCTCAGCCTCACAGCTAGACTGGGCAACAGACGAGGAACGGGTGGACCTTCACGAGATGGCACCTGAGCCAAGGCTAAAGCAGTAGCTCTGGGAGGACCTGAGGGTCTCAGCGTCGTCTGCCGAAGAAGCGTCTGTGTGCCCAGTAAGGACCACTGGCCTACGTCCTCTCAACACTAGCCCCATGCCCGATGTACTCGCTAGATAACGCAAAACGCTCTTAGCGACCACCAGTGCTGTGGTCGGTGTCTGCCTGTGGCCACAAAGTGAGCCAGAATGCTGAAACGGTATGCGAGATGGGGACGAGTGCAAGTCATCAGGTACATGAGCCAACCCACTATCTCTACAGACGGACCAGTTGGCTCTGCTAACTCCTCAGGCACTGGAGCTGAGAGCCCGTGGTCTACTGGTAAAGGTGTGGGCTGTGCGGAGGAGAACTGAAGACCAAACCTCTGATGGACTTGGCGCACCAAGTGTGACTGTGTGAGAGTGATGGTGCGCGCTGCTCTGTCCCTGGAGATCTGCAGGACAAGGTAGCGACGCAGCTCTCCTAGGTCAGTGCAGGTGTGTCTCCTCAGCAGCTCGGCCTTTACGGAGGCCAGCGCGTCTCTGTCTGCAGTAGCGAAGACAAGGTCGTCTACGTAGACGAGGATGTAGAACAGAGTCTGGCCAGCACGAACGAAGAGAGAGGGGTCTGCAGAGGACGGAAAGAACAGCAGGTCAGCTAACCTAGCACGCAGCATGTCGTGCCACTCACGGAGCGCCGGTCGCAGGCCGTAGATCAGGCGCCAAAGGAGCCACTAGGTCCCAGGTGGGAAGGTACCAGTGAAGCCTTGAGGACGGCGCAGGTAGACCTGCTCGTTTAGGCTGCCCTGAAGAAAAGCATTGGAGAAGTTGAGGGAGTGGAGCTCGTAATCACACAGTGCTGCTACGTGTAGCTGCTACGAGTAGTCATCTTCGGGGTCGAAGAGAAGGTCTGAAAGAAGTCCACCCCCTCTCGCTGACTGAAGCTTCTAGCCACAGAGTGCGCCTTGAACACGGGCGGCTCTCCAGGGGGGCGCTTCACCTTGAAGAGCCAGTGGCCATCGACTACGTTCACCCCAGGTAATGGAGCTGCGTCAACGTAGGTGCCGGTGGATCTCCAAGATGCCATCTCTTGCTCCATGGTAGCTATCCACTGAGAAGCCCAGGGTGCCAAGGTCGCCTCATCGTAAGTGCAAGGGGTCGGGATGTTAAATGCTTTTGGGTCACCCTCAGGGACTAGCAGCATGGAACAAAGATGGGGAGCAGCCTTTGACAGGAAAGCAAGCTCGTACTGCCTGTCCTCTACGACGACACTGCCAAGGGCAGGAGCACCCCTGACGGACGGAGGACACACATGGTCAGAGACCAGAGTGGTGGCGTAGTCAAGGCGATGGGTAGAGGCGAAGTCAGCAATAGCAGCGACAAGAGCGTCAAGACTGGGGACAGGAACAGGTGGGTCAGTAACGAGGGAGGCAAGGACCCGAGAAACAAGAGGACGAGCAGCACGAAGGTAGTCAGACAGAGGAGGAGGCGTGAGAATGAGCGACGACACAAGAGGGGAAGACAAGAGGGGAGGACAAGACGCGTGGGAATGAAGCAACATAGGGTGAGAACGCAGAACAGGAGAGTCAGGACGAGCACGAGAGGTACGGCGAGACCAGACGTAAGACGGAGGCGACGGGTCAGGAGATAGAGGAGGAGTAACCGGAGGGGAATGGGGTGGGAAACGGGTTAGGGACGAGTCCGGAAGGGGAAACACAGGGTCATGGACAGGAAGGGAAGGAGGCGGCGGGGGAGGCGTAGGCGAGCGGTTGGGGGAAGGAAGGTTGAGCAGGCGAAGGGCGGACACAAGCGGCGTTTGCTGCTGCTTCTCGACACAGACACATGGACCGCCAGTTGCACCACGACTACCTCCGGAACACTCCCCTCTAGCACCCCCAGAACAAGAACCCCCAAAAAGAGAACCCTCTCCATCACCGGTGCCACCCCCGAGCCCGCTAGGACAAGACACGACAGGAACCCCGAACGGCTGGGTGCTAGTATCAATGCCAGCACCTCTTGAGTCCACGAACGGCTGCTGCTGCAACGGCGGCGACGGCTGCTGTGGCGGCAGCGGCGGCTGTTGCGGCAGCTACGGCGGCTGCTGCGGTGGTGGTGGCTGCGACGGCGGAGGAGGAGACACCGAGGGAGAGACAGGCAGCGAAAGCTGCACCGCAGGGCCACCAGAGTCAGCCGACTCCTCGACCGGGACAACCGCCGGGAGAGGAGTGACGTGAGACACACCAGACGAAGCAGGACGGGGAGGAAGGGGAGTAGGGGCGATTGGGGGAGTGGGGACAAGAAACAGGGGAGGGGAAACCGGGAGACCTCGGTGGGGAAAGCGGTGGTAAAAGGAGACAGACTGAATGAAAGTGGCGTCACGGGAGTGAAAAAAGCGGTGAGACGGCGGGTGGTAAAAGTGCCAGGCAGACGAGTCAAGGGGAAATCCGAGGAAGACACACAGGGAACAGTGCGCGCAGTGAGCTTATCCGTGCTAGAGGCATGAACGTGAGCTTGGCAGCCCCAGACGTGGAACGCGGACGCGTCACCAGGGAACCCAGTCCAAAGGAGGGTCGGCGAAACCTGCGGCCGCTGGGAGCGCGGCCAGAGGTTAAGCTGGCGAGTGGCGTAGCGAATGGCGAACGGCCACAGGAAATGGGGTGCATCGGCATGAATCATGGAGGTACGAGCCACCTCCATGACCAAACCGATGCGTCGCTACGCGACCCCATCCTGCTGCGGGGAGTCCAGTAAGGTGTACGACTGGGTGATGCCCTCCGCACGACAGAACTGTCCAAGCCGACCAGAGGCGAACTAGCCGCCATGCTCGGAGTGGAGACATAGCTCGGGGAGACCGCAGTGGAGGCGCCCAGTGTTGACCCATGGGATAAGAACGTCAGGCACGTCGGCCTTCTGCTCCAAGGGAAACACTGTGGTGTAGCGCGTGTAGTCATCCACGAGCACTAGAAAGTAGCGCTTGCATCGCGGTCCAGGGACGGAGGCTGGGCCCCAGACGTCCAGGGGCAGGGTCTGGAGGGGTGCGGTGGCAGGACGAAGCGAGGAGGAGTGAGGAGCACGGCGCAGCCTGCCCTCAACGCAGGGAGTGCACGGCAGCGCAGGCAAGTGAAGGAGGGCAGGAAGCGACGCAGGGAGACCTAGGATGAGACCGTGCTGGGACATGTGACGCAGACACGGGAGTGCAGGGTGACCTAGGCGG